TCCTGACTCTTGCAAGTGCCCTGAAGCATGAGATTTTTAGAAACTTCAGCATAACCAGAAGGGACCCTCAGAGCCCTGCCCGCTACCATCATAAGCAACCTTATCATACAATCACAGTCATAAATTTGTCAAGCTCACTCTTAAAACTAATTCCGTTGTTTGCCCTCACATTTCCTATGGGAGGCTGTTCCAGACCATCACTTCTTTGATTGTTATAAACCTTCTTCTAATTTTCATCCTGAGTTTGTTCATGGCCAGTTTATAGCCATTTGTTTTTGTGCCAACACTGTCCTTTACCTTAAATAGCTCTTCACCCTCTCTGGTATTTACCCCCAAATGTATTTATAGAGAGCAGTAATATCCCCTCCCAGCCTTCATTATATGGTATATGTAAACCAAGCTCTTCCAGTTTCCTCTCATAAGATAGACCCTCCATTCCTCTGATCATCCTAGTAGCTCTTCCCTGCACCTGTTCGACTTTGAAATAGTTTTACATGAGTGACCAGAACTGTACACAGTATTCCAAATGAGGTCTTACTAGTGTCTGGTACAATGGTGTTAATGCTTCTCTATCTCTGGTGGAAATGCCTCCCTAATACATTCTAGGAACACATTTGCCTTTTTCACAGCCGCATCACATTTGGTGCTCATAGTCATTCTGTGATCGGCTTACACACACAGGTCTCTCTCCTCCTCTGTCACTTCAGCTGATGAGCCTCCACTTTATAGCAGAAGTTTTTATTATTAGATCCTATGTGCATGACCTTTTACTTTGTACTATTAAATTTAATCCCATTTCTTTTACTCCAGCTTTCAAGGTCATCCAGTTCTGCCTGTATAATATTACGATTCTCCTCTGTATGAATGATGCCTCCCAATTTTGTATCATCAGCAAATTTCATTAGCACACGCCTACTTTTTGTGCCCAAGTCATCAATAAATATATTAAATAAGATCAGTCCCAAGACTGATCCTTCAGGAACTCCACTAGTAACCTCCCTCCAGTCCAGCCTTCTGTTAGTTAGTTCCTTACCCACCTTAAAATTCTTGTACTAATCACCATCTTCTCTAATTTTACTAATAATTTCCCATGCGGTACCATGTGAAATGCTTTACTGAAGTTGAAATATACAAGATTGACCACATGTCCCCTATCTAAAAAATCAGTTTTCTTCTCAAAGAAGGATATTAGGTTAATCTGGCATGATCTACCTTTGATAAACGCATGTTGCATACAAGAGTTTTAAAAGAGCTGGCTGAGGGGCTCATTAGATAGTTAATGTTGATTTTCAATAAGTCTTAGAACACTGGGGAAGTTCTAGAAGGCTAGAAGAAAGCTAATGTTGTGCCAGTATTTAAAAGGGGTCATTATAGACCTGTCAGCCTGACATCAATCCCCGGCAAAATAATAGACCAGTTGATACAGGAGTCAATTAATAAAGAATTAAAGGAAGATAATATAATTAATGACAATCAACATGGATTTATGGAAAATATACCCTGTCAAACTACCTTGATATCTTTTTTTATGAGATTACATTTGGTTGATAAAGATAACAGTAATGATGTAATATACTTATACTTCTGAAAGGCACTTGACTTCGTACCATTCAAAATGATGCTTAAAAAACTAGAACAATACAAATTAACATGACACACTAAATGTATTAAAACTGGCTAATTGACAGGTCTCAAAATGTAATTGTAAATGAGGAATCATCAAACAGGCGTGTTTCTAGCAGGGATCAGGTCTTGGCCCTATGTTATTTAACATTTTAATCAATGACCTGGAAGTAAATGTAAAATCATCCCTGATAAAGGTTGTAGATATTACCAAAAACTGGGGGAGTGGTAAATAATAAAAAGGACAGGTCACTGATTCAGAGTGATCTGGATTACTTGGTAAACTGGGCACAAGCAAACAATATGCACTTTAATACAGCCAAATGTAAAGTTATACATCCAGGAACAAAGAGCGTAGGCCATACTTACAGAATGGGTGACTCTTGAGAAGCAGTGACTCTGAAAAATACTTGGGGTGAGGGTCATGCTGGATAAGCAGCTGAACATGAAATCCTAGTGCAAAACTGTGGCCAAAAGGGCTAATTTGATCCTTGGATGCAGTGGTTCCCAAACTGGGGTTCGTGAACCCCTGGGGGTTCATGAAATGTTACAGGGGGTTCTCAAGACAAAATTCCCTAATGGCGGACAGAGCTGTCCCTAGGGACTCTGAGCAGCATAAGGGCCAGCAACCCGGAGCCCCTGGACTTCCAAGAGCTAAGCAGATCAAAGCAAGCATATCTATCACACTGAGGAGATTTAAACTTCAAGACTCCTTATAAGAAATGGAAAGGGAGATGGATTTTTTTTGCTGTTTTTAAAATTAAATAGGCAGCTAGTATTGTTTTTAAAATGATTACGAAGAACAAGTTTAAGCTTTGTTGTAACGTGCGTTGTTTGCCTGGACTGCTCAAGCCCTGAATGCCTGTGTAGGAGGAACTCTGAGTTGGCTTCTTAAATACCTTCATGCTGTTTCACATCTGATACTCCTTGATGAAACATAGGAGCCTTGTCTTATAACAAGCTTATTCAAACTGATACAAGCTACGAAAGTGAGATCTTGGAAGAGTGTTGCCGTTTTCATAATGTAATAAAAATACTGTAATGATCAATAATAATTAATAATAGTGTGTAATAAGCATGTCATAAAAACAACTTTTCTTTCCAAGATCACTGCTTTTATAATTTATACTCAGGTGAAGGAGAAAATCCCTGGAAATATTCACTTTTAGGAGGGGGGTTCGCGAGACGACATTTTAGTGAAAGGGGTTCACGGGTTGTTAAAGTTTGGGAACCACTGCTTGGATGCATACATTGGAATCTTGAGTAGGAGAAGGAAGGTTACATTACCTCGGTATTTGGCACTGGTGTGACTGCTGCTGGAATACAGTGTTCAGTTCTGGTTTCCACAGTCCAAAAAGGATGTTGATAAACTGGACAGGATTCAGAGAAGAGCTAGGAGAATGATTAAAGGATTGAAAAATGTCTTATAGTGATAGACTCAAGGAACTCAATCTATTGAGCTTAACAAAGAGGAGGTTAAGGAGTGACTTGATCACAGTTTATAAGTACCTACATGTGGAATTAATATTTGACAATGAGCTCTTCAGTACAGCAGACAAAGGTAGAACAAGATCTAGTGGCTGGAAGTTGAAATTTGACAAATTCAGACTGGAAATAAGGTGTAATTTTTTAACAGTAACAGTAATTAACCATTGGAACAATTTATCGAGCATGGTGGTGGATTCTCCATCACTGTCTATTTTAAAATCAAGATTGGACGTTTTTCTAGACTATCTGCTCTATTTCAAACAGGAATGAATTCAGGAAAGTGCTGTGGCCTGTGTTATACAGGGGGTCAGACTAGATGATCACAATGGTCCCTTCTGGTTTTATAATCTATAAAATGTGGCAAGGATTAGCTCCACCCCTCTGCGTGAGACATGTCTGCCATTTGTTACTGGAATTTGCAATCTGGGGGTGGTGTTGGATTCCTAGCTGCTGTTAGACTCTTATAGAGCTGCAGCGACCAAGCAGCTTTTCTCAGTTTGCGTCAGGCCAGGAGACTGTGGCTGTTTCTTTTGGATGTGGACTGGGTTACGTTAATCCATCCCTTTGCCATCTTGAGGAGACAATGTGCCCTGCATGGGTCCTCACCTTAAATTAGCTTGGAAATTGAAGTTGGTGCAGCCTGCATGGCTTAGCAAGTAGTGCATCTCACCAGAAAAACATGACAGCAGTGGTCCCAGATCTGCACTGACTGCTGGGTACAGGGTAAGGTGGTGGTTTTACCACGAAAGCTCTAAATAGCCTGAGACCTGCCTACACAAGGGACACCTCCCTCCCCGTACTGTACTGCCACAGCTTGTAGGCAGGGGAAGCAACTGAGCTGGAGCCCCCTTGATAGACGAGAGGGAGTTGCTGACAGGGCTTTCTCCATGAGGGACCCTTATTAGAATTTACTCCCCCGTCCCCTCCTCCTTGGTCCAAAATGGCCCAAATGTGATTACCTTTATGTCAGGCTGCAAAGCCCATCTTTTTACCCAGTCTGATGGTAAGACAGCTTTTTGCAGGGCCAGGTGAGGTGTTTGATTTGCTGTTATCACTGGTTCTTTTCGGTTCAAGGGGAAGAGGAGCTGTGGATTTTTTAGCTTACGTGAAGTTTGGTCTTGTGGCTAAGACTGAGATTCATGAGATCTGGGTTCAGTTCCTGCCTCTACCACAGCCTGTGTGACCCTGAGCAGGGCAGTGAGCCCCAGTTCTTCATCTGTGAAGCGGGAGCAGTACGTCTTTCCTCCCACCCATAGCTTATCTTGTGTTTTCATATAAACCTTTTGGGATAGGAGCTGTCTCCTACTGTGTGTGTACAAATCTTCAGGCACTACTATGGTACCAATAATAACAACAGTCATTTAAGGTTGGTGGCAGAGGCACTTAGTACTTGGGATAGAGGTCTTTTTGTATAGGTATAAATGAACAGTTTCACTTATTCATATCAGTCACCAGGACAATCTCAGCCAGCTGTGGATTGAATACCTCTCCACTCCATTTTTCAAACTTGAGGAACTGGTCCAATATACTGGTTGCAGGCCAAAGCTTCCTCAGCACACCGCCCTCTTCTTTGCCCCACTGTCAGGATTTTCAGAGACCATTTTATTTCAGGCATTAGAAGATCTTTTGTTAGACTCAAACCTTCTATGGCTCCTTGTCTTTTAGCCCCTTTGTGAAGCACTTTCAGCCATTTACCCCTTCCTTCTAGTCCTCTTCCACTCAGTGCTAAAAGATTCAAAACAATTCCACACTTCTATTTCCTTTCTTCAAAACATGCTGCTTACCTGAACTCTTGGTGAGTTTGGGATTGTCGGGGGAAATCTTCAGACCATCTTTATCTCTTCCAATGAGTTCAAGTCAGAAATACATTATTTTCTTGTGAATTTCAGATGCAGTACCTGGATGCTATAAATGGAGAGGACCTGCTACTGACTGGTGAAGTGAATTGGCGCCCTCTTGTGGAGAGTAATGCCCAAAGCATCCTGAAGCCAACTTCCCCAGCGTATAATGATGAAGGACTCTGAGACCTTCATCAGTCAATGAACAATGTGTTAAACTTTCATTCTGTGGGGTACCCAAGAAGGGAAGGAATAAATATTTGCTGTTGAAAGAATATATTTAAATAAATAGCCTTTTTGTATTGATTTACATGTTGGTAAACCTGACAGCAGTACTCTTTTGAATATTTTATCTAGGATTAAATGCTGCTAGTTCATTTGAGGAATGCCTGGCTGTTGCAGAAGTATAAAGTTGACCCTGTAGATAGGTTCTGAGAGACAGCATTCATCTTTTGAAAACCAAATATCTTACGAAAAGTGATAGGTACCTCAAGAACAGGGTTCTCTGCTCTTAATCTGGCAAGAGGGGAGCGACTTCACACAAATACAATGACATTACTTTTTCTGCTCCATGAAGTTGCTAAGCACAAGGCTGAGTTCTGCATGTTCTGAATGTTGATATACCTCTATCCTGGCTTTGGGAAACATAGTCTATTTTTGCATTAAAATGCTTGGGAATTGGCTGAGAAGATCTTGAAATGATTTTCGATTAAAGCCCAGTTTAGGGTCAGACTGTGACTGGCCCCTTGCACAGGTGCACAAGGAGAGGTAGGTGCAAGAGGGAGGGGACAGGGCCATGGTGGGACTATGGCTAAAAGCCACTTTAGAGTCTTTATTGTTTCAAAGTAGCTCTATCTTCCTGATATGCTCATATTCTTTCTAGAGCTGTGCTCTAGTGATTGCTGCAGTAGAGTAACATCTCAATGGTCTGTTCATGTTCTCTATGGGATAAAACTATGCTCTACCCACAAAGAAGAGGTTCAAGACCTTTTCTAGTTAACATTTTAAATAGTTAAGCAGACAACAGTTACCCCCAACAGAATTATTCAATGAAAACCTGCACCAAATAAATCAACAGAAAGTAGGGCTTTATTGCACAAACTAAAGGTCAACATGGGGTTTCTAGTTCAGTGACTGAAACTGGTTTTATTTCTCTCATGTCCAAAATCTTCATAGGAAACCATGTGACCAAGTAATAGAACTGGACTTGTTTTGTGTACTTTGTAATGCCTTTGCTGAGAATGAGAAGAACAGTGCCCTGTCGTGTCAGGATATAGTCCTAATAAACCAATTCACCAAATATATAGACGAGTCATATTTAATGTGTGATCACACTAACACACCACAAATGTTCTTATTTCTGGTGTAAGTCTGATGTCTTCTGTAGCTGCCCAGGACTGTGGATGTTCCTGCTCCTAGTGCCATCTTCTCTAGGCAGTTTGCATCGGTGTTAGATATCGCCTTTCCCGTCAGCGACAAATGGGATCCAGAGCATGATCTCCAAAACACAGGCGAGTGCTTCTTAGCCTTTGTTTAGGGAGCAACTACTAGTGAGTTTTTCTTTGTGTGTGTGTGTATGTGTGAGTGAACATATATATATATAAGTAATTTTGTTAGTTTTTTCAAAAGCAAACTTCCTCAGTTTAAGTTGTTATAAAATGAGTCATGTAAAGAAACCTTATATGTGTGAGGTATATCCCACTTCTGTAAAAACATTACAAACCAAACAACTTTCTCTCAGTTTATTTAAGATGCTTTTGTTGCAAGCTGAGCTAAGGAGAGAAACCTCTTATGTGTGAAGTATTATGCAGTATGTGTGAGATAATAACACCTTGTAATTCATTACAGCTGTGTTGTATTTACATAAAAGAAGGCTTAGCTGTGTAGGAATTTGCTGATTAATTTATTTTTAATGGGAGTGAAGTATACCAAGTACCAAAATAAACTTTACTGTGTGTATCTTACTGCTCCTGGAATAGATGGAAAAATTAATGGTAGATATTTTGGCTCAAAACTACCTACATTAATTCATAAACAAAATAGCCATTTAAACTTTAACCCCTTTCCTGCTATGTCATTTAAATCTTGACTCATGCTATAGTACCTGTTGTGTCTCCCAGGCCATGAGAACACAGGACTAAAAGCATGGCACTACCCATGCCATAGGAAACTAGTGGACATAGGAATGGGGTCACAGACTTTGCCATGCCACAGATATGCAAGGCCTGCAGACCAGAGTCCTTTTATGCAGTGGGTCTGCAGGTGTGGGATCACATTCCTTCTGACACTGTGAATATGTGGAGTCCACAGGACCTTCACCTTAGCCCTTCCTAAGCCATAGAAATGGAGAGTCTACAGAGACCATGGTGCCTCCCAGGCCACAGGTATGGGAGTGCCACAGATTCATTTGGGAGCATACACGTGTGTACCTTCCAAAGATATGGGAATTGGAAGATCTGCGACCATGACACCTTCCCTGGTTCCAGAAAATGCCCCCGTATGTTCTGCCACTGCAGAGTGAGCCAACAGTGAGGATGTATAGGTGAGGAAAGGAGTGGATGGAGCAGATTAGATTAGTCAGATAGGACAGATACATACTCATACAAATTACGAGCACTGTTAGAGCTACAGAGAATGCACAAGGGCTGGAACTGGGCAGGGGAAGAACCTTTCCAGCCCTGGATTCTCTGCGGATAAAGGATGTGGAGTGGCTTTTCCCTTGAGCACAGAAGATCCCTTAACCTCCCTTACTCTCAGATGTATAAACTCCAATAAGACACACACACACCATATTTGCAATATATCTTTGCATCCAGGCTCACCAGAAAGAGCGTTGTTATGATGGAAGATGCCACCTCCATTATGAATATAGATGGACATGTGCATGGAACAGTTCCTCAAAAAAATAAGACCTCTGTCTCTTCTATTAAAGCTACCATGGTCTGAGTGGTTCCCTCCAGGACTCGGCTCTCATAGCATGCAGAGCAAAAAGCTCCATGCACTCATGAGCTAGCTGTGACCTTCCACCCAGTTCCCCAAAGATTCTGCTGTTTCTGCCGGGGCCAGGACCGTTTTCAGTGTGTAGTTTTCCCTTTTGGCTTCTCATCAGCACCCAGAGTTTTCTCTGAGCTCATGCTCATAGTGATCACAACCTTCAGGAAGGAAGGAGTCTGAAGACCTACACATCAAAGCCCCACATTCTTGTTCACTTGAGCTGTCGCTGTCCTCAAAGTGCATGGTTTCATTCCAAGTGGGAGGGTAAGCTCTCTTGTTCTTTCCCGGGACCTAATCCACTTGAGACCATAATTCTGAACCAGCCAGAGGCTAGTCCTTCCTGCAGACATACTGCCTTGTTGTGAGGAGCCCTTGAGAGTCCTCATGTTTCCACTGGCTGGTTCTGCATCTGGTGGGCATTGTGACAGTGATGACCAGCAGCCAGTGAACTGTTCTGCCAATGAGATTGCTCCAGAGCCCGGGTATGTTAGCACTGCAAAGCCCATCCTAACCCCCCCCCCCCCCCCCCCGTTCTCCAAGGCTGTTGGGGAGGGGCGGGCTGGAATGGATATATTTATGGGCAATCCTTCCTTATGGTCTCGTTTTAAATTTGAGACAGGCATCCAGAGCACTGAATGGGTGTCTATTGTTGTATTTTAACAGTTTTGAGTAACTAACTCAGCTTCTTTTTCGAGTGCTCATGTTGATTACATTGTAGGTGTGTGCACGCCCACGTGCGCGGTCATCGGAGATTTTTGCCTTAGCGGTATCTGTAGGGCCAGCTGTAGTGCCCCCTGGAGTGCCGCACTCATGATATATCAGGTGCTGCCGGCCCTACACCCTCTCAGTGCCTTCTTACTGCCCGTGGTGGTCAGTCAGAACACCTCTGTCCCTTGCTTAGCAAGCGGCCAGCAGTTCCTTTCCTGTCTTAGCCTTGTGCTTCCAGTTATAAATAGTTCTGTTGTTAGTTAGTAGTTAAGTAGCTGTAAAGTGTTCAGTTAGTTAGGGTCCCAGCGGGGACTTTGCCCCAGGCAGGGCATGCCCCGTTCTCTGGGTTTTAAGCCCTGCTCCACGTGTAACAGGCCTATGCCTGTTAGTGACCCATACAATAGTTGTCTGCAGTGCCTCAGGGAGTCCCACGTGAAGGAGTGTTGTCGTATCTGTAAGAACTTTCGTCCTAGGACCCAGAGGGAACATGACACAACATACGACTGAGGGCCCTCCTGATGCAGGCTGCCCTATGCCCAGCCTCGGAGCTGGCTCAGCCCGAAACGGCACCCAGCGCTTTAGCTTCGGTGCGTAGTGTACCTGTCCCCGAGCTCCTCCCGGCACTGTTCCCCATCCCCAGTGCCGAAAAAGATGCTGAATAAGACGGCACCGAGCAAGACCAATAAAAGTGCTCTGGGCAAAGGACCCTGTTTGGGCCTTACGCTCACTCCGGACCCACATAATGGCTCTGCCCTGGGGAGTTCCTCCCCCCGAAAAGACCCGACTCCGTGGAGCAGGTAGAGGGTCCAAGCCAACGGTGCAGTCGATGCCCACTCAGCTCTTGGCACTTGCACAGCCAAGAGAGCTCCCACCGCAGCCAGCACCGCGTTCAGCAATGAAACTGTCTAAGGCTCCCCGTGAGGGCAAGCCCTCCAGTAATACCTCGCACAAGACAAACGAGCGCCACCAGTCTCCGGAGCTAAGGCAGAGCCCAAGGTCGCCATGCTCTTGGTCTCCGCGTCTGTCCAGGTCTCCAGTCTGTTGTTACCAGTCATCAGTACCAGGCTCCCGGTCCCGGTCTTCACGCCTAAGCTCTCCCAGGCATAGACGATCTCCGCGGCACTGGTCCTCGTCACGTTGTCGGTTGCCGAAGCCGAGACCTTGAGGCCACTCCCCTACTCCCGGCACCAGTCACCGACCGTGCCAGTTAGCCATCAGACCCAGGCCTCGACAGCCCTGCCATGGTCACCAGAGGGCGACAACTTCTCCAGATCGGAAGCACAGTTCAGCCCTTCACCCAGGCAGCAATGGGACTGGGCTCCGGAGGGCATGTCTGCGGCATCGGGGCCAGTCTGGCAACAAGGCGAGTGGCCGACCCAATGGCCTTATTGGAATGCCTGGGGGGTTCCTGTCATGCCATTGCCCCACTCCCACCAGCCCTCAGTCGCCGCATCCGACAGGCCAAAGTCGGCACCGGGTTCAGTGCAGGACACTCTGGTGGCCGTCATGAGTGAGGAGGCGGTGCCCACCCCCAGGTCACCCTCCCTGTTGGGGGAAGACAGTGGCGGGCCTCCCCACGTGGTCCAATCATGCTCCTCCTCCTCCCCAGAAGAAATGATGGCCGGCTCCTCAAGAGCTAGCCCACTGGACGATTTCAAGGAGCATCAGGCGCTGCTTCATAGGGTGGCTTTGAACTTGGCCCTCGAAGCAGAGGAGATGAATGAGCAGACAGACACATTATTCAATGTGCTCTCGGCAGCCACCCCAGCCTGGGTCGCACTCCCGGTGCACAAGGGGGGCCCTGAACATTGCCAAGTCCTTCTGGCAAACCCCGTCCTCTATTCCACCCATGTCCAAGAAAGCGGAGAAAAAGTACTTTGTCCCCGCGAAAGGGTTTGAGTACTTATACATCCACCCACCGCTATGATTGTTCGTCGGCCCATGAGAGGGATAAGCAGGGCCCCACCAGTTCCGCCCCTAAAAATAAAGACACTAAGAGGTTGGACTTGTTTGGTCGCAAGATTTATTTTACAGCTAGCCTCCAGTTTCGGGTGGTGAACCACCAGGCCCTCTTGGGCCGCTATAATTTTAACTTGTGGGACTCCTTCCTCAAGTTCAAAGACTCCATGTCCCAGGAAGCGGCCCAGGATTTTGCAACTCTGGTGGAGGAAGGCACCACGGCGGCTCGGTGCTCCCTCCAAATGGCCTGGGATGCGGCTGATTCAGCTGCCCGGGTGGTTGCCTCAGCAGTGGTTATGAGGCGCAGTTCCTGACTCCAGACTGCAGAGCTGTCCCAGGAGATGCAGGCCTCTATCCAGGACCTTCCATTTGATGGTGTCGGCCTTTTCTCCGACCAGACAGGCGCACGGCTGCACGGCCTTAGGGACACACAGGCAACTCTTCGCTCTCTGGGGATGACTCGTTCCTCAGATGTCGAGGCAGCCGTTCCGGCCTCCTCCGCCACCGCGACAGTGGCAGCCTCATCAGGGGCCTACAAAGAAGCGGGACACCAGGTTTAGCCGCTGCCACCTGTCATCATCCCGCTGCCCTGCGCAGCTTGGCCTAGCGAAGCACCAAGGGGGCCATAAGCGCTCATTTTGAGGGTGCACCCAAGAGCAACGCACCAGCCATCTGCCCGGATCCTTCCCGCCCTTTCCTCGACTGCCCTTTCCCTTACCGTTCGGCCTGGTCCAGGGTTACATAGGACCACTGGGTCCTGTACATAGTTGCTTGGGGCTATACCCTGCAATTTTTGGCCGCCCCTCCTTCCTGCCCCCCCCTTCCCCATCCTTCTTCAGGGACCCTTCTCACGAGCAACTCCTCGTTCAGGAGGTCGAGAAACTCCTGGGCTTGAGGGCTGTAGAGGAGGTTCCTTGAGATATGGAAGGAAGAGGATTCTATTCCCGCTACTTCCTAATCCCGAAGGCAAAAGGGGACCTCAGACCCATTCTGGACCTGCATGGCCTCAACAAGCCTCTCAAGAAGTTGAAGTTCCATATGGTCTCCCTGGCCTCCATCATCCCTTCCCTGGATCCGGGGACTGGTACGCCGCTCTCAACTTAAAGGACGCTTACTTCCATGTCTCCATATTCCCAGGACATAGACGGTTCCTGTGCTTCACAGTGGCCGGGCACCATTTTCAGTTCACAGCGTTACCTTTTGGCCTGTCCTCGGCCCCCAGGGTGTTCACAAAATGCATGGCACCAGTGGCGGCTTACCTCAGACATCGGGGGGACCAGATCTTTCCATATCTTGACAACTGGCTCATCAAGGGCAGGTCTCTGGAGCAGGTACAAAGGAGCCTCGATCTGGTGCATTCCACCTGCAGCGACCTGGGCCTGTTGATAAATGCAGAAAAGTCCATGTTAACACCAGTACAACATAGAGTTTATTGGCGTGGTTCTTGACTCCACGCAGGCCAGGGCCTTCCTTCCCGAAGCGCATTTTCAGGCCAGGGCGGGCTTAATCTCCCACATACAAGCCCACCCGCTCACTACAGCCCACACGTGTCTGCAACTGTTGAGCCACATGGCCGCGTGCACATACGTGGTCAGCCATGCCCAACTTTGAGGCCTCTGCAAATGTGGCAGGTACCCCCTAGACTGAGTGGTCACAATGCCGAGCCATGTCCTACTGTTGTTGGACTGGTGGCAGGATCCTGAGTCGGTGCTCCGGGGAGTTCCTTTTGTGTCCCCATCTCCGTCGCTCACCCTGGTCTCGGACGCTTTGGATCTGGGCTGAGGAGCCCACCTGGTGTAGGATCTGGGCTGGTGTAGCCCACATTGGCTACATCTTGACCCGGCCCTCCACATCAATGTCAGGGAACTCAGGGTGGTTCTCCTGGCCTGCCGGGCTTTTTTTCCCCACTTGCAGGGCAAGGTGGTGCAGGTCCTGATGGACAATACCGCCGCGATGTATTACATCAACACACGGGGGGGTGCCAGGTCTTCGGCCCTTTGTCGAGAAGCTCTCAGCCACTGGGACTTTTGCGTGAGGAACGCCATTCACCTGGTGGCCGCCCACCTGCCGGGGACCAAGAATGTCTTGGCGGATCACCTCAGCAGGACCTTCTCATCTCGCCATGAATGGTCGCTCCATCTGGAGGTAGTCAACCTGATCTTCCAAAAGTGGGGGAATCCCCAGGTGGACCTGTTTGCATCCAGGCAGAACAGGAAATGCCATGTGTTCTTCTTTCTGCAGGGCAGGGACCAGGGCTCCCTGTCGGATGCCTTCCTGATTTCGTGGTCAGGAGCACTGATGTACGCCTTCCCGCCAGTGCCCTTGATCCACAGAGTCCTCCTGAAGGTGAAGCAAGACAAGGTCATGGTCATCCGCTTTTGCGAACAGGGGCTGCTAACGGAGTTTCGCAAGGGAGTTCTCCAGGTGAAGGAGGAGCAATACAGCACCCTTTTGGGGACCGTGTGCTGTGGCTGGCAGTTGGAAGCTGTGAGCTTCAAAGGAAGGTTTGAAACCTAGAAGCCTCTGGTAATTGGCTGAGCCTTAATCAGTGGGCGGGGCATTCATACAGGCCAGGGCTTTATAAAGCCACGCACAAGCGACCAGGGAGCTTTTGCGAACAGGGGCTGCTAACAGGGAGTTTCGCAAGGGAGTTTGGAAGGGGAGTGGGAAGGGGCGAGGGTCCCTTGCCGGTTCTATCTGTTTTCCCTTTATTCCCCTTAAAACTTTAAACTTCTTGCTTAAACAACCCTTTCAGCGGACAGGGGGCTGCAGATGGGAGTTTGACAGAGGGAGGCTTACGATGGTTAGGAAGACCCGCAACACCTGTGCCAGCACTGCTTCTGTCTCCTCCACCTGCGCCTGTAGCCAGACAGAGCGCCTGAGAATGGATGCTTCTGCCCAGATCCTGGTGTGGTTTTGCAGAGACTGTAACTTGCAATTTCCACTTACTGATATCCAGGCTGGGGGGACCATCCAATGTGAAAGGTGCCTGCTGGTGGAATCTCTCAGGCAGCAGGTGGGAGAGCTACAGGAGGAGGTGGCTAGGTTGAGAAGCATCCGAATCCACGAGCAATTCCTGGACAGTGTCCATGTGGAGACAGCTGAGGTAGCTGTCCCAGTACACAGGACTGCTGATACACCACTGGTGGAGGAGGAGATGGCTCAGGGTGGACACTGGCAGCTGGTTACTTCTGGCAGCAGGCAGTGCTCCACCCCTGCTCCGAACCCTCCCACTGTGGTAATAGGTAACCGTTATGCTCTTCTTGATACAGGAAAGAAGGCATCACCCCCTACAGTAAAGGAGGAGAAGCCTCGTACCCCTAAGGCTGTGAGGTCTGCTGCCACCACTGCGAATAGGAAACGTAGGGTAGTGGTGGTCGGAGACTCTCTGCTGAGGGGGACGGAGGCGCCCATCTGTCGCCCTGACGTTTCATCTCGGGAGGTATGCTGCCTGCCGGGAGCCCGTATCCGAGACGTTACGGAGGCATTGTCGAGGATTATCCAGCCCTCTGACTACTACCCCATGCTACTCATCCATGTGGGCACAAATGATACTGCGTGGTGTGACACTGAGCGGATCAAGAGTGACTACAGGGCTCTGGGAGTACGGGTGAAGGAGTTTGGAGCGCAGGTGGTATTCTCTTCGATTCTTCCTGTCAAAGGTAGGGGCCCGGGCAGAGACAGATGCATCATGGAGGTGAATGCCTGGCTGCGAAGATGGTGTCGCCAGGAGGGCTTTGGCTTCCTAGACCACGGGATGCTATTTGAGGAAGGACTGCTAGACAGAGATGGCGTTCACCTTTCGAGGAGGGGAAAGACCCTATTTGGACACAGACTGGCTAACCTAGTGAGGAGGGCTTTAAACTAGGTTCGACGGGGACAGGTGAGCAAAGCCCGCAGGTAAGTGGGGAACATGGAGACCTGGGAGATGGGTCGGAAACGAGAGGGAGTGTGGGCTATATTGGCAGAGAGAAAGGAGGGTCAGGACAAAACTGGGAGGAAAGATCAAACCAGTATCTTAGATGCCTATATACAAATGCGAGAAGTATGGGTAATAAGCAGGAAGAACTGGAAGTGCTAATAAATAAATACAACTATGACATTGTTGGCATCACTGAAACTTGGTGGGATAATACACATGATTGGAATGTTGGTGTGGATGGATACAGCTTGCTCAGGAAGGATAGACAGGGGAGAAAGGGAGGAGGTGTTGCCTTATATATTAAAAATGTACACACTTGGACTGAGGTAGAGATGGACATAGGAGATGGAAGTGTTGAGAGTCTCTGGGTTAGGCTAAAAGGGGTAAAAAACAAGGGTGATGTCATGCTAGGAGTCTACTACAGGCCACCTAACCAGGTGGAAGAGGTGGATGAGGCTTTTTTTAAACAACTAACAAAATCATCCAAAGCCCAAGATTTGGTGGTGATGGGGGACTTCAACTATCCGGATATATGTTGGGAAAATAACACAGCGGGGCACAGACTATCCAACAAATTCTTGGACTGCATTGCAGACAACTTTTTATTTCAGAAGGTTGAAAAAGCTACTAGGGGGGAAGCTGTTCTAGACTTGATTTTAACAAATAGGGAGGAACTCGTTGAGAATTTGAAAGTAGAAGGCAGCTTGGGTGAAAGTGATCATGAAATCATTGAGTTTGCAATTCTAAGGAAGGGTAGAAGGGAGAACAGCAAAATAGAGACAATGGATTTCAGGAAGGCGGATTTTGGTAAGCTCAGAGAGCTGATAGGTAAGGTCCCATGGGAATCAAGACTGAGGGGAAAAACAACTGAGGAGAGTTGGCAGTTTTTCAAAGGACACTATTAAGGGCCCAAAAGCAAGCTATTCCGCTGGTTAGGAAAGATAGAAAATGTGGCAAAAGACCACCTTGGCTTAACCACGAGATCTTGCATGATCTAAAAAATAAAAAGGAGTCATATAAAAAATGGAAACTAGGACAGATTACAAAGGATGAATATAGGCAAACAACACAGGAATGCAGGGGCAAGATTAGAAAGGCAAAGGCACAAAATGAGCTCAAACTAGCTACGGGAATAAAGGGGAACAAGAAGACTTTTTATCAATACATTAGAAGCAAGAGGAAGATCAAAGACAGGGTAGGCCCACTGCTTAGTGAAGAGGGAGAAACAGTAACAGGAAACTTGGAAATGGCAGAGATGCTTAATGACTTCTTTGTTTCGGTCTTCACCGAGAAGTCTGAAGGAATGCCTAACATAGTGAATGCTAATGGGAAGGGGGTAGGTTTAGCAGATAAAATAAAAAAAGAACAAGTTAAAAATCACTTAGAAAAGTTAGATGCCTGCAAGTCACCAGGGCCTGATGAAATGCATCCTAGAATACTCAAGGAGCTAATAGAGGAGGTATCTGAGCCTCTAGCTATTATCTCTGGAAAATCATGGGAGATGGGAGAGATTCCAGAAGACTGGAAAAGGGCAAATATAGTGCCCATCTATAAAAAGGGAAATAAAAACAACCCAGGAAACTACAGACCAGTTAGTTTAACTTCTGTGCCAGGGAAGATAATGGAGCAAGTAATTAAGGAAATCATCTGCAAACACTTGGAAGGTGGTAAGGTGATAGGGAACAGCCAGCATGGATTTGTAAAGAACAAATCATGTCAAACCAATCTGATAGCTTTCTTCGATAGGATAACGAGTCTTGTGGATAAGGGAGAAGCTGTGGATGTGGTATACCTAGACTTTAGTAAGGCATTTGATACGGTCTCGCATGATATTCTTATCGACAAACTAGGCAAATACAATTTAGATGGGGCTACTATAAGGTGGGTGCATAACTGGCTGGATAACCGTACTCAGAGAGTTGTTATTAATGGTTCCCAATCCTCCTGGAAAGGCATAACGAGTGGGGTTCCGCAGGGGTCTGTTTTGGGACCGGCTCTGTTCAATATCTTCATTAACGACTTAGATATTGGCATAGAAAGTACGATTATTAAGTTTGCGGATGATACCAAACTGGGAGGGATTGCAACTGCTTTGGAGGACAGGGTCATAATTCAAAATGATCTGGACAAATTGGAGAAATGGTCTGAGTTAAACAGGATGAAGTTTAACAAAGACAAATGCAAAGTGCTCCACTTAGGAAGAAAAAATCAGTTTCACACATACAGAATGGGAAGAGACTGTCTAGGAAGGAGTACGGCAGAAAGGGATCTAGGGGTTATAGTGGACCACAAGCTAAATATGAGTCAACAGTGTGATGCTGTTGCAAAAAAAGCAAACATGATTCTGGGATGTATTAACAGGTATGTTGTGAGCAAGACACGAGAAGTCATTCTTCCGCTCTACTCTGCTCTGGTTAGGCCTCAGCTGGAGTATTGTGTCCAGTTCTGGGCACCGCATTTCAAGAAAGATGTGGAGAAATTGGAAAGGGTCCAGAGAAGAGCAACAAGAATGATTAAAGGTCTTGAGAACATGACCTATGAAGCAAGGCTGAAAGAATTGGGTTTGTTTAGTTTGGAAAAGAGAAGACTGAGAGGGGACATGATAGCAGTTTTCAGGTATCTAAAAGGGTGTCATAAGGAGGAGGGAGAAAACTTGTTCACCTTAGCCTCTGAGGATAGAACAAGAAGCAATGGGCTTAAACTGCAGCAAGGGAGGTCTAGGTTGGACATTAGGAAAAAGTTCCTAACTGTCAGGGTGGTTAAACACTGAAATAAATTGCCTAGGGAGGTTGTGGAATCTCCATCTCTGGAGATATTTAAGAGTAGGTTAGATAAATGTCTATCAGGGATGGTCTAGACAGTATTTGGTCCTGCCATGCGGGTAGGGGACTGGACTCGATGACCTCTCGAGGTCCCTTCCAGTCCTAGAATCTATGAATCTATGAATCCTTGTGGCCCCAGCGTGGCCTCGTCAACACTGGTTCGGCATGGTGCTGAGTCTGTTGGCAGCCACCCACCTGCAGCTGCCTCTTCAGCTGGATCTGCTGTCCCAGAACCATGGCAATCTGCTGCACCCAAACCTGGCGGCGCAGCACTTGACAGCCTGGCTGCTGCCTGGAAAGGAATGACAGTGTTCCAGTGGTGTCCACATGAGCTACCTATGTAGCAAAGTGGAAGCGATTTATGTGTTGGGCCTCGGATCGTCACATCCGTGCAGAAGAGGCCCCGCTACAAGATGTCCTGGACTATTTGCTGCACCTTAAGCTCCAGGGCCTGTCGCTGTCTTCAGTCAAGGTGCATCTGGCAGCCATTTCGGCATTCCATCCTCCATTTCAAGGCAGGTCGGTCTTCACCCACCCTATGACGGCACAGTTTCTGAAAGGCCTGGAGCACCTTAACCCACATGTCCGGGGTCTGGTACCCC